CTTTATATCATTATGTGATTTCCGTTTTATATTCTTTTTTTATTGTATTTATATCTTATGATTGTAGTTGCTTATAGTAAATATTGAAGATTTTAATTCATTACAAACAAAAAAAATTCTTGAATGATGTAAAAAGGAGATATATATTGTGTGTTATGTTTGTGTGCAGTTTATATGTTTTATGTTTTAAAAGATTTTTACATCCTTTATTACGACTTAAAGTTTATAAAAGAATTAAGTAGGATTAAGAAAATATGTGTGACGCCAACCTCTATTTACAATTTAAAACATTGTTTTTGTATACAATTTTCGTACTTTTCTTAAGAAAGATAAAACAGAAACAAAAGTTACTAATCATAATAATCTCGACATTAATATGTTGTACTGATTATAAAAATTGTAATAGTAGTGAAATGAGACTGTAAAATGCATAAAATTTCCGTTGTCTTTAAAATGATAATATCATTCGTTTCCAAAATCGCTTTGTTAAAGCCAAATATTGCTCTTTTTCAAGTTTGAAGCAAGAAGCTTGTCGATCGGAATCCGACTGTAGGAACGTGCATACTTACCAAACTATCGTCTGTTCTCTATAGCCAGCCGCTTCGAAAAACTCAGTCAGCCGGACGAACCCGAAGTAGCGAAAGTTTTCCAAAACTCCAACGGCGTGGCCAGGAACGAGCGAGATTGAAATACATTCGATTCGCTTTTCCTTTTTCTCCTCTTTCCCGTTCGCTTCCTTCGTTTTTCGCGTCAGGATTCGTTGCCTTTATCCCGGTGCTCTATGTCGGATTTGTAATTCGGCAACTCAGAGACTGGGCCTGACGTTGAGTTCAAAAGCAGATAAAGTTCAAACGTGGCTGTGTATGCCAGAGGACTAATTTACACGGTTCAATTTTAAGGGTTAGAATTCCAGATGAAAATTATCCAAAGTAAAAAAAGCCGTTGATCGTATAAAGTGGAAGAACTTTAATTCCTTTTAAATTGGTAACTTTGAATCTTACTTTATCATAGCTTCTATTCTGGACAAAGTTAAAGGCTCTTTATTTCTCTCTTTCTCTCTCTTTGTTTTTTAACTTATATTTATATATATATATGTATATATATAATATTCTCTAAATCTGAACCAGTGGATAATCACTGATATCGGTGCCACTGGTAATCAGTGAGAGAAATGTGAAATTCCTAACCTAGTTAACCTTTATTATGTGATTTAATTAATCTTATTTTAGTGCATAAATTCAATGAATATAGTATTCGAAGATTGAAATTAACATATAAATATCAATATTTTAGGCTATATATAATGCTCAAACCTTTTTTTTTAATTTAATTTCACTGATTATCCAGTGCCAGATACGTCACTGGGTGATTAGTGAATAGTGGCATACTTGGCACTAATATCAGTAATTATCCACTGATCCAGATTTAGAGAGTATACAAAACTGAATCTATGTATGATTAGCAATATTTTTAATTTACTTAAATGTAAAATAAATAATATAAGGTTTGATAAAAGAAAGTATAATATTTTTATTTTACAGAGATACAAATTTATCTTAATTTTAAGTATCTGCACACAAAGAAAGAGAGAAAGATAGTACATACATTCTTTTTTAAATACAATTAAATATTTGTTCTAACTCACTACTTATTAACTCGAGTTTAATAACATGATATTCCTGTTTTATAAAACCAAAACATTTTAAGAAATTTTCTCAAATAATATAAAGTATGTCTTCATATTTATACTATCTTCTTGTAAACAAGCAGAAGATAGTAGCACAAATAATATCTAAAACGGATCCAATTTGTATTTTCGTTTATTGTGTGATTATTCGCGATGGATTATCCAAGGGAAACCGTGTAAACATTTTATCCCAAGTGACTAACGTGTAGTAAAGCGTTGAAAAGCTTCCTTCTGCAACTGATTATATTACGGGGATACGAAATTCAAATTTTATGTGTGTATATGTATGTATAATAAAACAAACTATATCAATTCTACATTTAATTAAAATTAATTGAGTCACATTATCAACATTATTTCAACAGTTTTATTATGGGTACATTATTAGTAATACAGATATACTGATTTAGAAAAAGTTAATTTTCTATTAGCGAATTGTGTACTGTATTGATTAAAATAACAATTATTTCAATTGATATTTTAATTAGCTGCAAATATTATATTTATGGGACTTAAGATAGCGTATTTTATTTTTAATATCTTTATGTAATATTAATTATAAAAATATAGAAAATGTACTCTCTTCTAATTTATGATTGCAAAACATTTTTTTTTAAATAGATAAATATGAATAAATTTTAAATTTGTCATGGACTAATTTTAACTAAGATTAGTACTACATGGTCACAAATTGAAATTTTTAATCTTGGCTTAATATTATGTTTTTTATCTTAAATTATGTGTATTAAAAATTTTATGTAATGATAATGAAATAATATTTATATTATAGGCAATAACAGATATATATAAATATTATAATAAATGTTGATATTAATAAATGATACTATAATGCATATATTGAGAAACTATATTTTAATAAATACAAAAAAAATTAAGAAAATATAAAAGTTCATAACACAAAATAATGTGCGTGGGCTTACACGTTGATAGGTATGTAAGTGTTTTAATTCTGCTTATCTCTTCTTTCGCAAAGTAAAGAGTGCAAGATGAACACGTGCGAGAAATTTTGTCTCTTTCGGAAGAGAGCTTGTATGAAGCATTTCAGAGGTGCAATGCTTCTCGCAACTACATCAGTCCCAGAGGAATACGAGGGCGCGTAAATCCGTAAATCGGCTTGTTACTCATCGCAGCTCCCCTTGGCAATTTTTGCATGAAGGACCTATCAGGTTGTTAACGTTGAAGTAAAGAAGATAAAAAAGGAAGCTACACTAGCATACTATATGCTTCGAAGAATGAGGAACAGACAGGCTGTTATTTATGAAAACTAATAAAATTTAAGCTTTTAATCTCAGTTAAAAGAAAATTATGTGACATGAAATTGCGAAAATGTCAATCTTTTATATTTATATTTTTAAAATTTAAGATGACAGAAAAGGCAGTTTCTTTAAAACACGTTCTTAATTTTCTTGTTTGATCGTGATCCTACTGCATATTAAAATGATTAGTTGAAAAATATCAAGAACTGCACGCTTTATGAATTTATATAGCAATTAAGGGGATCCTAAAGTCCTGTATTACCGACTAAAATACGTACAATTTTTGTATTGCGAATACTCTTTTTCTCTTTCACGGATTCGAAAATCCTTTTCCAGGATTAAAGTATACGCATTAATACGTGACTGTGAATTGGAGTCTACGCTGAGAATGATCAAAAATTTCGAAATCGATATATTTTTTACCATTTCTTAGTGTAACATGGCGTCTCAGCTGTCAAGTCGTGACAACATTTGCTTGATATGAAAGTTTTGCAACCTGTACGTACGAAATAATGATTCACAGTTACGTAATTTGCACAAATATACAACGTCGAGTTTTCAGAATTAAATTTAGACTCTTTATCGCGATGAATTCGCAATACGAAAATTGACACGTGCGTGTGACTGCGTGTATCATAGGCTGCGTGAGATATTGCTGTGGTAGTATAAAAAGACATGTCGATGTGCGGCGCGCGGCGCGACATCTAGTGATTTTTCGGAGTTCGAGCTTTGGTTTAGGATCCCCTTAATTGGTTGGCTTTTGTGGTAGGTTTCGAATATTTCGTAAAATTAATCTAGTTGAGCGTGCAATCCAGGATGCGGCTGTGAAAGTGCCGCTGCAAGGGTTACACGAGGGCCTCAAGGGCTACAACTCGTAGAATTCGAAAGTTTAGATTGCACCTCCGTGCCTTGGTCCCGACCAATTGGTTTAGTAGTTTCGACCAGTATAACAATGGCGGAAAATGTCGAAATCAGAACGTACTGGTCATGGGAGCGATCTTGAGACATCTCAAACAAACTTTGTTATTCTGTTTGCTTCAGCTAAAAACGTTAATATTACAGAATATACGTATGTATTGTGCTGCAAATATTGTTTAATTGTCGAATCTCTTTCAGAGAATTAAAAAAATAAATTTTGGTTTTTTTCTTTTGTTCCTTACAAATAATGTTTTTTAATAAATTTTATTTTTAAACATGTATTTTAGATTCGAATACATATTGATCCCTCTATAAGAAATATTGGACTTTGTACAATCAATTTTTTGATTATATGAATTCTGGTTGATAAATTTCTCAATCTGTAAAGAATAAGTAAAATTCAATTCAACTTCTATGATAATAAAAACTCGTTTTTGGAGTTTTCACAAATGCATGTGTAAGAATTTTTTCAACTTTTTATACAGTTTCGAACAATATAAAAATCTGTACTAAAGTTCATAGACTCAGATTGCAGACGAAGGATAAAATTTACATTGCCGACGAATGATCGATGTTTGAAATTTTGATGTTTAAATAAATCTAGTATAAGCTTTTTTTTATATATTAAAATCAATAATTTAACTTAAAAGTAGAACATGTTATTTGTATTACGGTATTTCATAAACGTAAATCTCGTACCGTCAAAAATAAATATTTTTTTTATCTGAGTACGAAATTGATAGTGCGACTATTTACAAAGTAAAACCGCAATATACACTAGGTATGTGTACCTACCGGCTAACCAAAATGTTTTGTTTTGTCCTGTAAATTGTTTTTTGAAGTTACGTTAAATTGTTTTAATATTAATATTTCTTTTCTTTACGAAAATGAATTTAATTTGTATGCAGAATTTGATTGGTAACAATTATACTTTTATATAATTTGTGCTACTATAGTGTATTATACTTATCCAAAGTAATTTATTAAATTTTGTTATATATTATTTCTCTCCTCTCTCTGCTACATTAATTAATAAGAAGATAATACGCGTTAAAGATGATCATTTTCTTTCTAATTCATCGTGTATTAGACTAAAAGAAATTCTTTTTCTGTTGCAGGCTTAAGACAGCGACCTACGGATTCTCCGAGAGGAGGTGAGTTTCGTTTAGTTAATTTTTTTTTAAGAAAACCTGACTAATAAAAACGAAAGTATATCTTTCTTCGGATACTACGACTTGGAACGATGCTCGCACCGCGCTTTCTGATATTTAATATCTTAATATTGTAATATTTTAAATGCAAATTCCGGAAAATTAGCGAATTGAATTTTTTGGAAGAATGAATAATAATGATATATAACATTATATTATTATTTCGTTTATCAAGAATGTTTCTATCATTTGTGTTCTACGGATTATGCTTACGTTGCAATATTAATTACATTTATTATCACTGTATTAACGTAAAATAATAATATTATCATAATTATTATCGTAATAATGTTTATTATTCATCACGATTATCGTGCCACCGATTGAACATGTAACCATGCGATTTACACCGCCGCGCGCGTGGACTGTGTGTTACATCAAGCGTATGTAATCCGGTGTGCGATAAAGAATACATATATCGATTCGATTTAACAAACTCTATAGGCATAAAATTTAATTCGGAAATGCGTCCGCACGAAATACTAAAAGCGCGCGCGGACTAAACGCGAGTGCTAAAACTCATGATCGCTTGTACTACATTTCGGTGCGCTCATTAGCGTAATTAGCGTAAGCTATTCACGTTCTGCGGGCCCATATCGACGTGGGACAAACGCTGGTATGTTACTTCATTAACTTGCGAACCATAGGACTCTAAAATAAAAATATTAAAGCGTGATTAAAGCATTGTTAAATTTGATTCTCGTAATTTCATCGCGGCACGCACGCTAGATCGAACGCACGCGGGATGTGCATCATATTTCGCAATTGAACATCAATTCTACATCATCCAAATCTTTTAATTGCATTTTCTAACTACAAGGGAATAGCACAGCCGCTACTGTGTATTTTGAGCGATTTCTCTCTCTCTCTTTCTCTCTCTCTCTTTCTCTCTCTCTTTGTATCAGAATCCGCTTTAAAAGCAGTACCACGCTTTGCAATCGCACGCTGCAGCACAAAATGACGCGTTTGAAGAGAATATGTTATGGATTTTGTGACGAACTCTATGAGTGCTTTATCGGTACATTACGCCTGTACAAACGGCCGCTCGCGTTTTACGGTCGGTCAGGGGTTCGCAGAAGAAAATTGAAGCGGGGTGTTAGCGGCTTTTCGCGTGCTCGTTTCGGTGCAGTCGAAGCTATCTCCACTCGTCGTTAAAACGCGCCAATTTTTCAACTTTCGACTGCTGTGTCCATAACGCTAAAAAATACACGATTGTTGTAGGTGCGGCACGCAAATTATTTCCGATGAGTTTCAGTTTGATTTTTATTCGGATTCGTGACATTACTCTTTCACGAAAACAATTGAGTTTGGTCCACACTCGTGTAAACACGCGCTCTACTTCAACCCTAATTCAGATTGCTATTAATCGAGTTGCCGATTTTTATTCCTTTTTTTCTGATTGTGCAATTGTACTCAACGTAAACGAATTTAATTTATAGCTTTCGCACATAGATATATAATTAACTTCGTGCCACTTCATGCGCGATAGATATGCTTATATACCGATGAAATGAAATAGGATAAAAGTGAGTTAATTTTATTAAAACGTTATTATGCTCTCTAAATCTGAATCAGTGGATAATCACTGATATCAGTGCCAAATATGCCACTATTCACCCAGTGACGTATCTGGCACTGGATAATCAGTGAAATTCAATTAAAGAAAAAGAAGATTTGAGCATTATATATCCTAAAATATTGATATTTATATGTTAATTTCAATCTTCTAATATTATATTCATTGAATTTATGCACTAAAATAAGATTACTAATTACATCACACAATAAAGGTTAGCTAGGTTAGATTTCACATTTCACTCACTGATTACCAGTGGCATACTTGGCACTGATGTCAGTGATTATCCACTGGTTCAGATTTAGAGAGTAATCATATAAGTCTAAAGATTTACTGAAAGATAAAAAGTAGTGTAACGATTCTTTTTAATCATGTCTAAAAATAACAGGTAACAAAATGAGTGGAGTTTTATCACGACGTGATTGATAAAAGACGTTTCTTTTTTATCATACACATTTTTCATAAGCGGTAATCTATAGTAATGTAGCGCGTGACATTATTCAAATTGAATCGTTCGCACCGATTCTTAGTCATCACCGTCGTTCGCTCTCGATAACGCTATTTCGCTGATTTCTGGAGTCGCGAACTCGCGTTGCGCTGGAAATTTGCTATTTATCGGAGAGGACCAGAACGTCTCTGGCGCGAGTCGTTAAAAAGTAATGTATTCTGTTAGCGGCACGGAATACCGACGAGAAAGAGGAAGGAGGGATCCTTTTATGTCAGCGGTTCGTACGGATGTTTTCGTCAAAGGACACGCATACCGTATCTTCCCTATATAGCTGTTCAGGGGAGGGTGGAAATCTCTTGAGCTTGGCTTGCTCTTGCTCTCTTGTAGAAAGCTAAATTGCCCCCGTCTTCTCCGACGACACCGCTGAATTTTTAGTTCGTTTCTGAAGTGTTCCGCTATATCACGTTCATTTGCGCGGTCGCGATGCCATCGTAGACTTCTGACGAATCAGACGCTCAGCTTAACAGAACGTTCGATATTTCGTAGAGTGTGAGAGGAGCTCTGTGTACGTAGAAATACTGTTTAAATTAATGGTTATATTCACATATTCATTATAAATATATCTAAAATAGAATAAGAGAAAAGATATACATATAATAAAATTATATTAGTTTCTTTCGAAATGTAGAGAAAAAAAAAACATTTTTATTTTTGTTAGAATGTATTATTTCTGTGCTTTAAAAAGATTTTATTATCTCAGTGAAAGAGATTTTATTTGAATCGTTAGTAATCTAAAAAAGATTGCGTCTATAATGTGTGCAATAGGTATCCAAAAATATTGACATAAATTCAACTTCTCTAATACATACGTAAGTATTGAAAATGTTCCTTCTCTCTCTGTTTGTAAATGAAAGAATTATTTATTTCAGACTAAAGTATCATGCACTCAGAGAAAAACGTAATAACGGCAACTGAAAAGGTGACTACAAGTTTTATATACAGCATAATGTACGTAATTAAATAATTTATTTTGTAGTTATCGAAACTTTATAAAATAATTTATCTATATAAATTTATTCACAACTATATACAATAATTCTACATAAAACTTGTATAGTTGCTATTTTTATAATTGCTATTACTACGTTTTTCTTTGAATTCATAATTTAATTTCAAATAAATCTTTTTTCGTTTACATCAAGTAGAAGAAACTTCTCGTATATATATGTATATTGAAAGAATATATCGGAAAGTTGAGTATCTATGTATCGGTATATCTCAGTACCTATTACATACATCGAAAATATGATTTTTTTAGATTATAAACAATTAAGATATCACTAAAATATTGACATCTTCTTTAAAAAGCACAGAAATAATACGTCTTTAGAAAATAAATGTTCTCGTATTCCATTTTATTTAATTGGCTTAGCAACGGGTTTAATTCAGTCTAGTCTGTAAATGTGCAAAATGCTTTTAAACGACGCTTTTAGCTTTGTCTCGTTCGTATTTATTCGTAATTCATCTTTTTCGCGACGCAGACCTCACTACAGCGTAATATTTTATTCAAATTCGCGGTAAGATGATATCTGTGAACACCAAACGCAGAGATAAATTCTGTCGAGTGTGCGATCGATTCATTCGCCGGCAGAATGGTTTAATTTAAATAGCAGCGACGGAAGCTTCCTACGTAATTACGGTTACAACTGAGGTTTTGTTTTGTATCTATAACAGGATGTGCGACACAAGATGTGCAAATGTCATGCTCGTTTCTAATGCGAACATTCAATCCTGCTGTAATTAAGACCGAACGATACTTGCCGCTTTGTGAAAGTTGCGATTGTTTTGTGACAATTGCGACGACGATGCACTAGAAAATTGTTCAAAGACTCGAATTTTTGATATATATCCTAAGATGCGAGGCTTGCGAAAAAATTAATCTTATTTTCGTGATTCTCTCTTTCAAATATTTATACGCATCTTATTTATCGCTTTGTTTTAGTATATCACGTTCAATATAATGCTTTTCATCATACGTTTGACAGGAACACATTCCACGTATAAAAAGTTACTGCAAACTTCAATAGTAACTATGATTCAGGATTGACAAAATTACTTTATAAAAGTTACTGGTTTTAAAAAGTAACGTGTTATCGTTATTGTTGTACTCAAAAATTATTATTAATATGAAAAAGAAATTTATCATTATTGTTACTTGGAAATTGTAATAAGTCGTTACAATTCCGTTAATTTTTCACCGAATTCTTGTAACTCCTTTTTTAGAGTGGTATCCAATTGTCTTGGTCACTAATTGATCGGTTCAATACGAGATCCAGAGTAATTTTAATAGTTGTACTTAATCGCACATGGGGCCAAATATAACATTGTCTTCCTCTAAAACTTGTTTGTGCACATTTCATACACATGTATTGTATAAAATAACGATAAAAGTAATGATTATATTCATTTTTGTTACCAAAAAAGCTTTTGCTTATCATTAATGTTATAAATAAAGAAATATATCGTCGTTACCCACTCATTACTGAAAAAAGTAATTGTAACGATAACAATATTACAAGTAACGCGTTACTCCCCAACTCTGCTGTCAATTTAGGCGAACTCGTACAAACATACGTTAGCCTATATAAAGCAAGAAAAAGTTATGCTTTCATTTTACTCTCAGAAGAGAACATTATTCTTAAAAGTTGAATTTAACGTTTCTCACAGCTGCCGAATTTCTGTCGTCGCAGAAAACTCAGAGATCTTCACTTGAATTGCCCTAATAACGCTATTCAGCTACATTCTATTTTCGCGTAAGACCTTTGACGATTCCCTTCGTGTGTTCGCGCGTTGTATACCTAGGAGACTCGAGTCGCCGCTTTTCACGGTGGGTAACGTTTGAATCTACCCCTCGTATCT